CTGAACTAGGATTCTATATAGCCAGAACATACGCTGACTGCGTTACTATTAATACTTCATCCCCCTTTGAAAGTTTTTTTATTGATCAGCAATATCGATATATATATAGTATCAGTAGGTAGTATAGTATCAGTATATATATAGGATCAGTACTTTCAGTAATAGCAACACTATTGCAATACCCCAATTAGTGTCCCCTACTCATTTGACGCTCTGTGCCCCTTAGTTGACGTCTGGTTTTCTCTTCCGTAAATTTCTACTGGCCGGTGTGGAGCATTTTTCCCGGTACACCTCATTTTTCTATTGAAGGTTGACGGCTCATTGTATCGGCTGACGTGTTTTCGACAGTAATACATTGGAGACTGCCCTGAACCACAGATGACGTGGATGCGTGCGCCGCACTACGAGATAACGTAGTGGCAGGAATGCTGCCATGCCACCGGCGAATACAGGAGCGAAGGTAGGAGTAACGATGTCTGCGACAACACGGTGAAGGTAAGGCTAACTTAGCCTAATAGTATATATATATATATATATAATATATTATATATATATATATATATATACATATATATATATATATAATTATAAAGAGGATCGACTTTGAGCACTGTAGATGTTTGTCATATCCCTGGAGCACCCAGAAGAAGAAGAAGAAGAAGAAGAAGAAGAAGAAGAAGAAGAAAGGAAAGAAAGAACAAGAAAAAAGAGAGGAAAGCAGCAATAGCAGCAGAGGACTAAAACGGGAGAATCAGAAGGAGAAAACGAAGAAAAAAGACTAAGAAGACGACGATGGGAGAGTAAAGGCAAAAGTGAGCGATAATATGCTGCCTATACTAGGAGTAGGAACGCTAGCGCTGGCAACCTGTGCTAGACAAGTAAGTTTCTGTGGCAGTAATAAGATGTGGCAGGCGTTCCAGAGTAAACTTGCTGCTGCACTGTGCGAGCGTTTATAATAACGTGGGTGTCATTGTGAATAATTCCACTGGAATGCTCCGGCCTATGTGTCTTTCAATGCTGTGCTATTATAAGTGACGTGCCTCTTTCCAGAGAATTAGTCTCCGGAGTCTCTATTGACTTTTCCTTTGGTATAAATAGACCGGAAGATAAATACCACGTTGGACATATAGCGCATATATATACACACACACGCACGCACGCACGCACGCACGCACGCACGCACGCACGCACGCACGCACGCACACACACACACACACACACACACACACACACACACACACACACACACACATATATATATATAAAAAAAAACTGGCTACGGGCCTGAAATTAATATGTTAATATGTACATATATATAATAACAAATAGCGGTATTAACAAGAGGCAATAATTTAAATTCGCTATATATCAATAATCCGCTATAAAAAAATCTTTCTCATACGTAAAGATAATAATTATTTTGACCCATTCAACTCGCTACAATAGAGAACAGCTCTCGCATTATGACAATTCCTCCCACATATATAACAAGTGTTAATTATGATCCCCTCGATCAACACACCATAAACGATCTCAGGCACATCAGGGTCAATCAGCTTATCACGGACATGGTAAACTGACAATGCGTGATCGGTGTGCTAATCCAGCGAGCGAGCTACGCGCCTCCAACACCAGTAGTAGCTTGCCATGGCCCCATGACCCCTCCGGCGGTCACCCCGACAGCAGGTAGCACCCACCGCTGCCTGCATAGTACGGCTTTAACTAATGATGAGCTGTCCCGCAGTAAATCCGCGCTCGTTTCTCAGGAGGCGAACATTCCACCGCACCTCTGCACAGACGCGGAGGCCACACGTACAGAGACGGACGCACAGATATACAGACGTGTGCGTGGTCAAGCACGCATTGCAGTGTCGCTGTCCGTGACACGCCTAGCTTACAAGAATGTGAAACACGCGCCGTGAGCTGGTATTCTCAACCCTAGTAGTTAGTTTCACCGCAACACCACCAACCATAAGCTGTGAACCGGCCGACAACCTAGTCATGCATTTCAGCTGAACGCAAAAATTCTGTTTACACGAACCCTGCCAAAATCAACTATAAACAACTTACGTGAAGTGAATACCAGTGAAAAAACGTCATGACGCAAGGTGCAATCGATCCGCTACGAATCTCGCAATTCTACTGACAATCGGCTTGGGAATGAAGAGAACAATGATGAACAAACATGACAAGAATCTAACGTTGATATCAAATCCGGTGTTTATCTGACGATCGCTATCACCAACGTGATCATTAGTATCATCAGCAATATCACCAGCATCCCCCATTGCAATCAGAAGTAAAGTGTCTACGAGAAAAGCCCAAAGTATGTAATTCCTCACTGCTACTCTTATCTTGCGAATTCACTGGCCATATATTTTGGCACAGAAATGTCAAGGTAAACACCGCCGCCAACCATAATCCATGATGGCGAGTGACAATAAATCAGGCCCTCGCACGGCCACACAGGAATCTGTTCGCAGCCGGCACATGTTAGCGTGACAAAACCCATCCCTTCTGTGAAAGCCCTGCACATATTAGCCGTGGCAAAGATTATATGCCTCTCTGAATAAGGACGGTGCAGTTTTCCGCGGCAAGAATGCATGCACCTGAAAGCAAGTGGCACTTATCCCTGTAGCAGCAACAGCCGCACACGCCCATCCCCACACACAACGAAACATAGTTACTGTTAAACGCGCGAAGTAAAATGTAACAACCAATGGACACATGCGAGTGCTAATGCATTTTTTATAATTTCCGTCTTTTGTTAACATTAACCAACAACAACCCAACTACATATTGCTTAGCCTATATTCGTAATGATAGTAGTTCTACATCAGCAAAACCTAGCAAACACGAAGGCAAGTCAACTCTCTCGGGTTAAGGATACTCTCCACGTTGTGCACGGGTATTGCTCTAGTGAAGATTAAACGTTTATTGGCGAATGAATCGAATCAATCACTTGTTTTATTTATAGAGGAGATATATCTCTATGCTCAAGCCAAAAAATTGTATGAAATTTCCATCACCTATAGGCCTACCTAACCTTGAATTTTTATGTAAAAATGGTATTTTGGATATTTCTCAACTACCAGAAAGAGTGAGAATACAAAA